AACTTGCAAATCCTGAAGATCAATGCCAACGAGATGTTGTCCACTATCCCTCCGCAAAAGGTCCACCTTACGCCTCGAGTTCCCGGTCAATGATCTCTAGGTATACGGGCCGGTAGGCAGGAAGAATTCATCTTCGCACAATGCCCATTCGAAATCTGCGAGGAAGTAGTCGTCGGCACGAGCTGAGTCCTGTCTCTCCACAGAGTTGACCATGGTGCTGGCGGCCGCACTGGAGTGGTTGCGATTGTTCTCAGCTCCTGAGATCATGGGGTCATCAGCCTGTGCAGGATGAGTTTCAGGAATGGGAGGTATACCATCCGCGGCCTCCCCCTGCGGAAGATACATTATACGATACTGCGGTTCGTTTTCGTCTCGCCACCACCAGATCGCGTCGAGGACGGGACTGAGGACAAGACGACCCCGCACCCTGAGGGATGTGTACGCGCTGCCATCAGGCTTACGGTAGGCCTTGGTGCTATTCCAGAGCTGGTTCAGGATGAAGACGGCCTTGGCGGCAGTATCGTTCTGCTGGACGGACATCTCCTTGGCGAGATTGATTCCGGCGAAAAAAGAGGTCCTGGCTCGCTCGAGATCCAGGTCGCAAGATGTGTATAGCTTGAGTATGCGGAGCAGGGACACTGAAGCGAGAAGGAGCCCGAAGTTTATCTGTAAGGGGGTAGTGACCAGGCGGCCAGGTGTTTGACCTAAAGACTGGACGAAGTCAATGACTCGGCAAGCCGCGGCCAAAAGGCGAGGCAAGGAGCCCGTTGAAGATAGGATTTCGGTCTTGTAGAAATGAAAGGCTAGAATACTCAAGCGGCACAGAGCTATGTGGAATCTGTCGACTGCTGTAAGGGCGTCAGCGCTGTTCCTCCTTGAATAAATCAGCTGGATCATACCGGAAGTGAACTGGGATTCCAAGTCTGTGATTTGACTCTCGTATGTGCGGAGAATGATATCCAACGATCGCTCCTGTTCCAAAGACAAATTTCGCAAGCCGATTTCTACGACTGCCGCGCTGCATCTGGTTACCAGGTCCAAGCATTTCAGCTTCAGCACCAATCCTGGTGCGATTCTCTGGAACAAGCGATGGCTCTGCCCGAGTTCCTGGTGCATATCGTTGAGAGTGCGAGCTAATTGCCCTTTGACAATACAAGAGCTATAAGACTGTGAGCAATGCTGGCAAACCCTTGGAGTTAAGGACTTACTTCTGATAAGCAATCACGCAATGCGCCCAGAGTTCCGATCGCCGGATCATATCAGCTTCGGACGGGGCGGAAGTTTTAAACCTGGAAAACTCATGGCTGGACGTGGGTATGTGCGTGCCGTTCTGCATGGCGATATGCAACATCATGCCGCTCAAGGTGAACATTACATCCGACCGAGTTTTGTCCTTTGCAAAGGGCCATGTGAGAAGCAGCAACAGTCCCTGAACCGTGTGCCATGGTGTTGTTGACAAGGCTGAGAGTAAAGCCATCTCAACAATGCCCCGAGAGAGAGCTGTCAGTAAGGTAGGATTTTTCGGGTAAGACCTGCACGCAACCCCAATAACAGCCCAGAAAAGAAAAGGAGAATGTGTGTAATATGCATTGGGTGTCAGCCCGATGTCGAGAATGGGAAGGAACTGCGAATATTCACGGAAGAACCTGTAGCATCACAGTCAGCGTTGTAAATATACTCGGTGGGCCATCATCCAACTGTTATCATTGGCTTACACTTGGAACAGATCATCAATCTCCGCTGCCTTCACCGTTACATTATTCAAGGTACGAGGAACTGTCGGCTCTGGACGACGATTGTCCGGCTCGATATCCACTTGGGCCAAAGGCTCTTCTAGACCTGCCGAGGATAGCAGCTGCTGCGCATACGACGGAACAGGAAGAGCAGCGGCACAAGAAGGAGAAGGACCAGAAGCCGGAGGAGTGGGGAGAGCAGGAGCAGGAGGGATAGGAAGACTTAATGCAAGCTCGCTGCTTGCAGAGTGTACTCCCATCTCTGCTGCAGCTGTGAGCATGGCTATGGGCGAGGCATGATGCGTTGGAGCCTGCACAGCTTGTAATTGTCGCCGGAGCTCATTCGCCTCATGTTCCAGTTCGGCTCGACGCCTGCGTAGATTTGTCAGCCTTTCAGCCAACACAAACCATGAAACTGGGGCAATACATACTGGCGTTTATGCTCCCTTCGAAAAGGGTCTGAGATGACACATTTAATCTGAGACTTTCGGCATCTTGTGCATGGCTGATCAGGGTTCAAATAGGCATCGCATTTGTGCTGATGATGGAGAGTTAGTCATGAAGAAACACTTGGAGTAGGCCATGCACTCCAGCATTCAGTGAGCAGTAGCCTACCTTTTGTTGTCTGCACTCTGTGCATGCTTTCTTGGCTCGCTTAAGCGAAGATCTAAGATAAGCTTCTTTGTTAGCGTTGCTCATGGAACCCACCCAGGAACGTTCGAGAAGGGGTGAAGAATCTCACTGGGGGTCCATTTCATCAGCAACCATTCGCATGTATCGGGAACAACGGAGCAGAGACTCCGCATTCTGCTCCTGCACTGATAATGTAAAGGATCTCTCTCCCTGATACTCTTCGCGATGACGGTTGGACTGGCGAGAAGAGCTACGAGTTGAAGAAGTTTGGGCCATCGGAGATAGTGCCATAATGTCCGTGACTGGTGGAGAAAGCCCCAGAACTGCTGGCGATGATTGACATTAACTGGGAAGAAGACTGGTTTGCTGATATTTGGGGTTGAGGCTAAGGTGATCTTAGGAGAGACACTGAGCATTCACTTAGCAAATCGCGACTCATAGCATCCTTTAGCGAGACTACTACTTGGTTATGGGTGAGAGTCACGTAACACGAGACGTTTCCAAGACGAGGATTGGGGATATAAGTGGTGATTATGGATCTTATGGTCTACGAGATTCAGCTTTGACCTATAAAAGCCCTATTAAAACTCATATTAGATATCATAGTTCAGCCATGACTCGGCGTTCCATCTCACTCATAGGTATCCTTCTTCTCGAACTTGTACCTGGGCTTGTTGACAATGACGCTATACCCTGGCATCAGGCCCGGAACCGGCACGGAGATAAGCAATCAGGCCGGATATAAGTAGCTCCGATTGGCTCCAAGGTCCTTTCCCGGCTTTGCCCTAGATGAAGCCTGAGCAATATCAGGATAGTACGTCGGGATTCATGAGTATTAATTGCGAATTCAATGGAAGTCACCTCTCTATTGAGAGCCTCAGAAAATGTGTAAAGGTAGATCTGGCGGATTATCCCTCAATCCATTCAGCATTGTGCCCACTGATGTGCATCTCCGGGCTCAAAGCCGCCGTGACTGGGGCCTTTCGCTAGCCTTAGGGCATTCGCTTATTATCAGTGACGATCCGCTACTATGCTGCAACGGCTGACGGAACTGACTGGCCAACTTTGAAGCTCTGCCATGCTTACGCAAACATGGCTGAACTTGGTGCAGTCGCAGGATCGCCTGCGATTGATGAGCAAACATGTTCCGACCTGCGGAACGCACGCCTGGAAGATTTGTATTGCTCGAGTCTACTAGAGGTCTACTGTGAAGATGAAGTCGCAACCAAGTGTGTAGGTAAACCAGGCTTCGAAGTTCTCTCCTCTCTTTGCTGAATGGATACAGCTCTAATAACCGTCACATGTCTAAATGAAGCACCTCAGCTGTCGCACAAGCCCTCAGCTGTTAATACAGAATGTTGGACAACATGGCTTTAAGACACCTGATCCGTCTAAATGTTAATGTATGGTTGTCCAGGGTAGTATGATCACAGCTCTATCACCCCGAATCCTCATACAATCGACATACCATCTAATACTCTTTTAACCTGCGACGGTATGATAGTCGATGCAGGTCTCCGTGGGGACAGTCAAAGGTAGTAATGCCGATATCACGGTTACAAGAACCTTGGACCTTCTCTTTCTGACTGAGGATCCTACAATTTTCACATGTGGACGAGACGCATTAGGTGCTATTGCCTTGCAGGTGACGAATACGACTCGCGCTTGGAAAAACTTGATGTACAGTTGGATGCCTCCAGCTCAGCATGTCCCATTAGCCGGACACCGTGTTGCTGTGTCGCAATCGACAACTCATCTCGCATATTGAGGAGCAGATCCTACTTCTCGTTTCCAGAAATAGAAGCTGGGTCCTGCAACTCCAGTCGTTGCGGAACATAGACCCTCACTGCAGAGCAGCTGCAGTGGCTTATGTCGTGCCGAAATTTGGTATCGACGGTGAGAGCAAGTTCCCTATTCACGTGCCAGAGGGGGGTTCGTTGCACAGAGCCTCCAATGGAACGTCATCGGGGACAATTTCAGTTTCGCTTGATGCCACCTTAGTGGTGGCATTTGCAGTACTTCTGCTATACCTGGAGTCCGGTCGGTGATTGATCGGGCAACTCTCCGGCAGGTTGAAGCTGTGCCCTTAGTTTACTGCCATGGAGAGACCTGCCGTCTGGGTAATCTCAAGAATCACTATCGATGGATCAGAATAGATCGAAGCTTGCCCTAATCGTCTCAGCACTCTTTTGTTCCGTTCCTCTAAGGAAATCACTGATACCATCTCGGAGTAACCAACCGCCACTGCTTACCCTGTCAGACTCCGATACATGGTGCATTGCCAGACTGTATCTAAGTATCAATAACTACCTTTGCTTGTGCAAGAATCCGATCTGGGTAGATGCTATCTTAGAATTGTACTCCCGACGAAGCTCCATCAGAAACGAAACGATTTTCTTCTGAACTACCTCGCATGACTAAGGTGTCAAGTGTCATATCAATGGTGCATTGCTATCGCTGTTGTTATGCAATTGTTGCCGTCCCCTGCTCTATGGCGGGATGTACTCACCGTGACATCACAAGGCGCTTAATCCCAACAATGAGGCAACAGATAGATTCAAACAATATACAGCTACTAAGTCTATTTCAAAATTCACTGTAAAGATCACTATTTTGTTTAACTGTAATATAAACATGAGTTTCGATCTCCCTTCTGTTAGCGAACTCAAACGCGCGGCCGAGGTCGGCCAGCGCATCACACCCGAAGATGTCTCCGTCATAGCACAAGCGGAGAGCGAGTTGACAGGCACAGGGCCTGTGAGGGGAGGACCTGCAGGTTAGTTCTCCCCGATCGTAGAAAAAAAGGAGAGCATCCGATATTGATTGCACTTTAGCAACGGCACAGAGCCTGGCGATGCGGCAGATGAACTTTGACACGAAGTTGGATGAGATCTCGAGGAAGCCGCAGAGCCATATCACCCAGGAGGATGCACGAGAGATACAAGCTACGGAGGTCAGTCTGCCACTCGCCTTTTCACGTTGTCGAGACGAAGCGGTTTGATGGCATTTTTAGGGTCGTGCATTCAACAAACCCCCTGGTGCGGGCTCCATCGCCGCTCAGGTTCGCTCCATTGCCAACCGGAACGAGGCACTGGGACTTCCACCTGTCAATGCAGGTGTTGATGTATATGTGACTAAGGATGATGCACGAGAAGCGCAGAGAGCCGAATCGTTTGTGTATGGAGGGCAAAACCCCGCGGGAGGGATGGCGGCTCAGATGCAGGTAAGCGGAAAATATCGGGTTGGCCTCAGGTAACAGACTGACAAACTGCTATTTTTTGTAGAGCGCCGCCGATAAGATAGAGCATGTCAGAAGAGTCAGCGGTCAGGAATGATCAGGAGAGATCGTCGGGGGGCTGGAGACTCCACCGTGTGGATATTTTGTGGCTTCAGAAGAGGCGGAGTCTGACCATCTTTCCAAGTTTCCTCTTTTGAGTTCGAGATATGACAGCATGACAAGAAGGGTCTGAAGTCTGCAGGAAAAAATGATTCACCTCATAGTATAGTTCAGCCCTAAGAATGCCAAAATTTAGGTCTCATAACCTCATTCAATTCTAGACAAGCCTTAGCGTTGGGCACCGAGACGAAAGCGAGGTTTTGGTTGGCTAGTTTCGATAAGCTGACATGGATGCTGATGTATAAGCCTCGAAGCACTGTCCAGCTGAATTGCTCTGCTAATCAACGGAGAGTATCCGTCTGTATTGCCTCGATGATTCAGAGATTCAGAACGCTTGTGGCTGGTTCAAGGACTTGACTCTCCTATCAGTGGTCGGTGCGGGGTTGGAAGAGGCCAAAAGCGCACCTCACTGGGGCCATGTGAGCAACGCCCGCTCCAAACTCAGTTTCACAGAATTGGTAAAAATAGGAGATTATCCAAGCCACATAAATCCGTACTCGGCAACTATTATTAAGGCTGAAAGGCTCAAGGAGTCCCAACAATCTGGGTTTCTGACGTTTTTATGTGTAACTGCTCTTTCTTGATTATATTCCACAACGAAAAGATTTCCAATTCCCTAGTACACTATGATCGCTGTATTGATATAGACTGACTTACTGCTTGTTGATATCAAACTTCGCATAGGCACCAAGTGGTTTTCTTCGGAAGGCGTCAGCAGTCAGCACAATGGTCAAACAGACTGTTTTCACCACCATTACGCCCCTCCCCTCATACATCACCAGAGATACAGTTGTGGAGACACTGCATAACCATAAGGAGATGATAGAGCTGAATCCTCTAGTCATCAATTTCGCTCAATGCAAACCTCCTAGCTTCGCGCCCGCAGACGAGTTCCACACCGTTTGGTACGAATTGACCGACAGGATATCCTATCTACCCGGAGGACTTCTTCAGGGCAACGTCAGCTACAAAGGCTGTTTCCATGATCTTCCACGCGGTCTGCAAACGCATGTCTACGCACCGACGGGACTCGATATTCGGGATAAATGGACTGTCTGCGGGAATATGCCGGGCGAACCTCGCGAGACCATCGAGCTGGGCTTACCAGAGGCCCCTCGGGAGGGATTGTACTTGCGCGAGGACATCCAGATGCGATGTCAGATCTGGGCCACGAGCTTTGTCAAAAAGACCCTGAAGAAAGCACATGCAACGCTGGTCGATCGGCTGGTCATGAAAGCAAACCTTCTGAAAGAACGTGCGGAAAACAACTCTGTCTCCTTGGGTTCTCCGACCTCGACTTCTTCGCATAGATTTTCAGTAGCGTCCGCTGAATTACCAGTGCTGGATTATGGTCAAACAGTGCATTCGCCCCGTGAAAAATGGCAGCAGGTTCATGGACCGAATAGTGCAGCCAATAAGAAAAATCCCTTCCCATCAGCCAACGAGCTTCCTGGATCATTACGGCCTGGGCAACTACCGGGCCTGGCAACACCGGAAATCCAAATTAATGGCGTGTCTGAATCCAGTATATCGGCGCAGCGGACAGGGGTATCCCAGAACCAGGAGAGGCACTCGCGCCGATCGTCTTATCACGGCAAAACACTATATGAACTGGAATAGAAAGATCGACAAAGATCTGATCGAAAATCCCTGTGCGCATCTGAGTGGTCGTGTTTAATTTCGCCCTTGCAATACCCCGCCAATGGAGGAAGCTATTGGCCGTATGGATAGGTGGTGCGCGAACCTAGACCTTGCTTAAACCCAGATGGTCTCAGTTTCGTACCAATGGATACTCGTCTCTTGAGGGTCGAGATAGGACGATATGAATCACTTAAGAAGATGGAATTCGTAGTGCATTGTTGCGTCCGGGCGAGGTTGCCAGCCAATTGAGCTGGAGAAGCGTGAGGATCCCGATTCGGAAAATGAACCTCGAAGCGGACCGGCTGGGTCTGTCAGTTAGTCAGATACTTCAAAGTATGAATAAAGTATTAGTGGCTTTGCTGTCGTGCTTCGGCTCGTTGGACTGCTTGTCACCATCAATGGGCGGCGTCCTTCCGAGTCTCTATTTATGCAAGCGTGACAAATCTTTGCGCGGGGCTTAGGATTTAGGAATCCCGACAGGAGCAAAAGGACACCAATCAGAGCTCATTGTCGCGTCAACGGAGATATTTGAGAATGCACTTTGTCCTGTAGATTTGAAATAATGTGATAATATCCCGAGTAGAATGTGGTTCCCGCTAATTCTGATTCATATTGGCGTTTGTTGGTGGAATTGTCGCTGCCCCTCCTTCAGCCCCAGCAGATGAATTCCAACAAGGGAGCTTTGGACTAAAAATGCCCATTGACAAATACTGATTAGACGGGGAAGTGTCTGGGCCGAATCAGAAGACCAAATGGCAATCCAGCAGAGGAGCTAGAATGCGCTACTAGAGCCTTTTGGTTAGTAGCAGAGAAACGAAGAGAAATGAGCTCGGCGCGACAGTGACGCAACTCTCTCGGTTTCTACCACGGTGCCCCTCCTCCATCATTCTTCCCGTGAGCCAAACATGGCCGATCCTCAATTGACCATCGGCTTAAACTTCGTTTGCTCATTATTGAATAGGGAACGCCACTAGTGGTCAGCAATAATAATGGCTGGTGGTTCCAAAACAGACGGAGGAGCAGGAGGGAGGGGGCGATTTGGGGTATAAATAAACCCCCCTCATCGCCATTTCTCTACAAAGGTACTCAACTTTGAGCACCTTGTTGACTCTATCGTGATACCTTTCCTTTAAATTAGTTATTATCAGTCGAATTAGCCACAATGCCTCTTACTGGTCACTGCCTCTGCAACGCAGTCACTTACACTGTTGATGTGGATCAGCCCGCTCTGGTAGGATATGACCACTGCGATGACTGCCAGCGTCAGACTGGCTCGACTTACTGTATGATGCCAATCTTTTTCTTACTGCTTCTCAGTTTTTTCATACATTAACGTATAATCATTTGGTTGGCTAATGATTACACCCTTCTGCAGCGCTCGTTGCGGTCGTCCCCAAAGACAAGCTGAAGATCAATGGCCCCGTCAAGAGCTTTGCGAAGAATGGGAGCTCCGGAAAAGCCGTTCATCGTATTTTCTGCTCGGAATGTGGTTCGCCAATTGCCCACGACCCGGACGCTGCCCCAGAGATTATCGCCATCAAGGCTGGCACCTTGGACACCGACATCAAAAGGAATTTGAAGCCGGTGCGTGCATTCAGAAGGCGCCGCTATCGGGTTAAATATGCTAACTACTTGTGTCTCTATCTAGGATACGGAAATCTGGACTGTCGGCAAGCTTCCTTTCTGCCAGGAGCACCTGGCCAAGCCTTTCGAGCACATGCCCCAGTAGATGGGACGAAAACACGAATTTTGCTTGGTCAGACGGATGAATGACCATTTGGATATACGATGAAATCAGCAATACGAGAATGAAGTTTGACTTTTTAGACGCCTTGTTGCTACCGGGATGGAACTACATCCTTCGAAAATTTGGTCTCACCTGTTTGAAAACCTGTTGTATTAACTGGGAATATATTCAAATTGCAAAACTGCACCTGTAGCAGTTGCCATCCTCCATTTTACTTTGTGTTGAAGTAAACTCTTCAGGCTGTATTCTACGAACCTTGGGCACTTTATCTGTTCAGTCAATCAGTGAATAATACTCAGCAGTGCAAACGTGGATGACAAGTTGTTTGCGGAATATAATAAAGCGGACTCTGGTGTTAATTCCCTCCTAATCACCCGAACAGAGTACGGAACTTTAGCTTTGTTCCTTTTATCCCCTCTCAGGACGTGCTCAACACGCTCGAGCTATGGCCCGCTCGGCGCATTTATATACATATCTGTCCTATTAAAGGAGCACATTGACTAGGGGAGCATCTCAAATGGGTTCAGAGCACAGCCACCATGTCATCAGGGACCCTTTACATCAGAGACTCGCGCACCAACGCGGAGTATGAAATCCCAATCAGACGAAATGCAGTCTCAGCGACGGACTTCAAGAGGATCAAAGCCCCGTCGGCTGGCGCAGACCGAGCCGATCAGGTCGGAGGTGGACTACGCGTGCACGACCCCGGGTTGCAGAATACTACCGTGGTGGAAACAGGGATAAGTTTTTCGTGCGGATCTCTGAGCTTCTATGTGGGATGATACAGCTGACAGGCTGGCGACTCTTAGCGATCATGAGAAGGGACTCCTTTTGTTTCGTGGGTATACTTTGGAGCAGCTTTGGGACAGCGATTTCGAGGATATGCTGCACCTTCTCGTCTGGGGGAGTTATCCTACGGCCTCGCAGAAGAAGGAATTGAGCCGGAAGCTTGCTGGGGAAATGGCCATGGTACCCAAAAGCGTGCACAGGACCATAGCAACACTGCCGTAAATTATCCATGTCAGCAGAGGCTTCGAGTTCTCGCTAACAAGGTAAACCACTACAGAAGGACCACCTCTCCCCTGCCTCTCATGTTAGCCGGACTTTCAGCATGTCTAGCATACGTCCCAGAGAGTATTCCTGCATCAACTAAGCCCGATTTATATCAAATCAACCGCAGAGAGGTCAACCACGCAATCATTCGAACTGTTGCAGCCTACGCTGTCGTTTTCGGGTTGGTAAACTGCCATCGAAGAGGGATTCCGTTTGCACAACCATCTCGTGACAAGCCTTACCTCGAGAATCTGTTCCAGGTAGCAGGTCTGGTAGATCCAACTACCGCACTCCCAGATCCAACAAAGCTGTCCTGTTTCCGGCGTTTTGCCATGCTCAACGCGGACCATGGCATGGCTCTATCTGTATTTTCAGCACTGGTCACAGCATCATCTCTCACAGACCCTATATCATGTGTGATGACAGCAGTAGGGGCAGCATTTGGCCCACTTCATTTCGGTGCTACCGAGTCAGCCAACCTCGCGCTGCGGGAGATTGGAACGCCAGAGAAGGTCCCCAACTTCATCGAAGAAGTGAAGCAGGGCAAACGAAGACTCTTCGGATACGGACATCGCTCGTACAAGGGAGTGGACCCCAGAGTTGCTCCAATAAGGTCTATTCTCAAGGATCTGGATGCCTCCTCGAACAGTCTCCTAAAAGTCGCCGAACGGATAGAGCAGGTTGCCTCGGCTGACGACTATTTCAAGAGCAGAGGACTATACCCCAATGCTGACTTCTACGGAAATTTTGTCTTCACAGGGATGTAAGAGTCGTCTGTGAGTTCAGCCTGGAGAGGTGACACATTGGCTAAGGGTGTCTGCAGAGGGTTCGAACCAGATATGATCCCGGCCGCCATGATGGCTCAGCGTATCATGGGCGTAATGGCACACTGGCGGGAGTATATGTGTAAGTCTTTGCAAGGATCGGTAAGATTTCGGCGAGTTTCTGACTTTAATATGTTTAGTGAAACGCGGCAAGTTGTTTAGGCCGTCTCATATCTATACTGAGGAAGTCAAAGAGGATAAGCCCCTGCCAAAGATATGAAGACGGATTGCAGACGTCCAGACAGTCAGAGTGAGCGATGCTAGGTGTAGTTTAATATAATCAGAAAAAGATAGTTGAGGTCTTCAGAACCGACCATAGTAGGGCTATCGAGGAGTAGAATAAGTGTAGTCACCCGGCTAATGTGAACGGAAGTGAAATGCGCCGGATTCTGGCAGTTTTGAGCATTTAGATGGAGAGAACTGTGTTCAAGATGAGGTCGAAACTGTCAAAAATAGCGATTCTGCAAAAAGATATACACTTCATGTTTTTATGTGCCGTCCGAATATCACACTATGACAGGGCAGTCGAGTGTCTCTCAACCACCAGCTACTGAAACGACACCCCTCCTTTCCTCTCATTCTGCATCACAGCGGTATTCGGTCTTCACCAATGGAAAGAAACGCCTCATCATTCTTGCAGCTGCTTTGGCCTCGAGCTTTTCACCTTTCTCGGCCAACATCTACTATCCCTCTCTCAATTCCATCGCGGCAGACCTACATGTTACCAGTTCTCAGATCAACTTGACCATCACCACGTACATGGTATTCCTCCTAGTCCATTGGTTTTTGCATTTTTTCAAGTAATGTTTACTGATGGAGACAGATATGTCAAGGCCTCGCTCCGTCCTTCATGGGCTCCTTCGCAGACCAAGCCGGCCGACGCCCAGCATACATCCTCTGCTTCGTCATCTACATCATCGGCAACATTGCCCTCGCGCTCCAACACAACTATATCGCTCTTCTGGTTCTCCGTGCCGTACAGAGCTGTGGAAGCAGCGGAACTGTCGCCCTCGCGTCTGCCGTGGCAGCGGACGTCATCACATCCGCCGAGCGAGGCATGTACATGGGTATCACCTCACTGGGCAATATCCTAGCTCCATCGCTTGGCCCAATCCTAGGCGGGTTTCTTAGTCAGTACCTAGGCTGGCAAGCTATATTCTGGTTTCTTTCTCTCGCCGCAATAACCTTCTTCATACCGCTCTTCCTCTTCTTCCCAGAGACCTGTCGCGCCATTGTCGGTGACGGGTCATTTCCAGCTACAGGATGGAATCAATCAGTCTGGAGCCGGTGGCACAAACGACATGCTACTACTACCTCTAACTGCGACGTCAAAGGCTCCCCAGATACCTGCCGCAACGCCCATCTAGCGCCTCAAAAAAGAAGCATCACCTTCCCGAATCCCCTGTCCACACTCCGCCTCCTCTTCGAAATCCCCACTGGCCCCCTCGTCCTCGCCAACGGTATAGTCTTCGCAAGCTACTACTCCGTCACAGCCGGTATCCCCTCCCAATTTAAAGCAATTTACGGACTCAGCGACCTAGGCATCGGCCTCAGCTTCATCCCAGCAGGCCTAGGCTCCCTCGTGAGCGCAACCTTCAACGGCCTTATCGTTGACTGGAACTACATCCGCCTCCGTCGCAAAAGCGGTGAACCCGTCTCCAAAGACCAGAAGCAAGACCATGGCGCGTTTCCTATCGAGAGGGCACGGTTGCAGATCGGGCTCCCTATGACGGTACGGTTGCGTTGCACCCCTTCTACTTCAAGGATCTTGTTGCAATTGCAACGGGCTGATATCAGCAGGTCGCAGCGGCACTTTCAGTCGCCTGGTACGGCGCACTGATCGAAAGCAAACCGGCGCTGAGCGTCGCGCTGGCCCTCGTGTTCCTCATCTCGTTCTGCATCACGGCCGCATACAACGTGATGAACGTCCTCCTCGTGGATCTGTACTACACCACGCCGGCCACCGCCATGGCAGCCAACAACCTCGTGCGATGCTTCCTGGGTGCGGCCGCAACGGCCGTCATCCATCCGATGATCCAGAAATGGGGGAATCAGACTACGTACTGGGCTGTGGCGGGGGCGATCTTGAGTGTGAGTCCGTTACTGGGGATGGTCTATTGGAAAGGATTGGGATGGAGGCGCAAGCGGTTAGGAGAAAATGCAATTGCTGCGTGATATAAAGCGCATTCGAGCGGTTTTATTCATGTCCGTTTATTTCCCGGAAGGTTTCGCGTTACACAGTGCTCTTTTCGGTAGATTTGGCCTCCTGGTGCGTATAAATCCATCTGTCTTGTCTCCGTCTCCTCGAGCAGACAGCTAGTCAATCGATCAAGATTTTGAGCGCTATTCTGCGTGGCTTGTGTTCAATATGAAAATATTTATCCCATTTATCTTATTCACAGCCATATCTTCCGCACAGTGGGCTCTGCCTCCGGGAACTCCCAGTCTGCAAATGCGATACCCCTCGACCCCCTGGATTTCCCCAGGCGATACCATCAAACAACCGGGTACGTCCGTCACCATTCCAGTGGCCGATGTAGACGATGGCTCACGCGATAGTGGAAACGAACAGATGCACTCCAGATCCCATGTATCAGCACTTTGAACCTCAACACCGCGCGCACCTACCTCCTCCTCTTTGTCGACATCGACGTGGTCTTGGAATCGTGCTCGACTACAGTCTTACATTGGTACCAGCCACACATGACGGCATCTGCTACCAGTCACTGCAACGACAATGGAAATGGATGGCTAGTCAACAGAACTTCCAACGGAGCAGAATACATCGCGCCCCAATCCCCACCATACACACGCCATCGATACGTCTATCTTCTCTACGAGCAGGACCCTGACTATGTGTTTCCAGAATGCTTTGGCCACATTTTCCCCAAGACCAGAGAGGGACGAGGCGGGTTTGATATTAAACAGTTCGTCGAGGTTGGTGGACTGAGAGCGCCAGTGGCAGGGAATTTCTTCTACGTCGACAATGATGCGGCAACGACGACAGCGGCATCAGGAGGATTAGTGCCCACCACAACGTGGTTCAGATCGGCCCCATGCAGGACTGAGGAACCAAAGAGCACAGGCTTCATTCCCATGGAGGCAAATTACGAGGTCGGTCAACAGCAAGTGGTCATATAATTTCACGTAGGACAGAGAGTGTGTACCAAGGCCGTAGCTTGAACTTTATGTTGCTCCACGAAGCGAATCAAATGCGAGATGTAATCAAGGCAGACTGCTTTTTGGACGCTCTGTCAAACGCGATATGGAAGAATAAGTAGAGACGTTGCTCTGTGTAACCATCCGGCACATATTAGCATAGTACAATTAAAGCAGAATTGCAACGCACAGGCGGGCCATGCAAGTATCGCCATCAATATTGGATTACTCGCCTCGGTAGCCCAAGTCTCAACATCCACTCCCCCGTGAAACGCGAACCATGTAACATGAATGGCTAGAGGGCTGCAGTGCCAATGCTACCTCATGGTCTGTTCGCGCCCTCAACTGTCTCTGCTTAAGGGTATGGGAATAGCAAGAGGCGTTCTAATCGATCGACACAAGGTATACCGTCAGTGCAAAGTTGCAATCCACTCATATATACAAACCACGGTAAGAGAATGAATTGGCTGGGACAGGATCTCAGGTATTGCCCAGAACAGTACCTACATTCTCGGTCGTGCCTTTCTTTCGTCGGGATGAACCGAGACAAACAGTCCAAGCCATCCCCTGATCAGCTTCCCAAGAGCGTCAAAGTGCGCTCGACCTGCAACGCATGTCAACAGGCCAAAATACGCTGTAGCCATGAAAAGCCGTCTTGCCGAAGGTGCCTGAAGCATAACATTGAGTGCATCTACAGCATGTCTCGACGACTGGGAAGACCTGCGAAGAGGAGGGAGTCTCAATACGTCGGCCTTCCAGCGGATACGCAGCACGTCGACCCTCGGCGTCATCAACGAGACAAGAAGGCGCCAGTCTCCAAGCGAAAAGCAAAAGAAAGCCAGGTGCACAACAAGAAGGACGATGAAGACGACTTCCCACAGAGTCCTGGAGAAACAGCATATGGCACCATTGCCGTCGACCAGACTATGCTAGACGATATCTCCCTCGATGACACTAACCTGAGTACGCCTACCTTTGGCGAAAAGGATCAACTGCCATCATTTGCAGGTAAACTACACTCTCTCAGAGACCTAACTAAGCAAAGTCATTGACGAGAAATGTATCCTATAGTCAACGATGCCATCGATTTCTCCTCTGACAGCTGGCTGCAAGAATTTCTTTCTCAGCAAGGTCCAGAACTTGCACAAGAGAGTGATCTCTTTGATGCACTGGCCCTTGAAATCCCCAAGAATGATAAGCCATTGGCTAGCTTGAAGCAGGGTTGCAATGATTCGGAGTCTTCACCGAAGAGCTTTCCCACGTCGTCGCCGGTAGGAGAAGATCATCTGCGGACGGTGAGCCTTTATCTCGCAGATGACCCCGTGCCCCACGACGCAGTTACCAGCACTACCCAGTGCCCTGCGACGGTCCAAGCGTCCTATCCTGAATTCCTCAAGAAAAGTGCTTCAGTCAAGCCTCAGCAGTTCTCAATGGCAGAGGCGCTGTCTGGAAAATCGTGGACTACACCAGAACAAGCCAATCTGCTTGCCCATTCAAGAGCTTGGAAGCGTCCGAATGACGTTGGCTCTCCAATTTATAATCTTTCTCCAAGCCTCACGTCCGTGAGTACTGCGACTGGTCGCCAGTGTCGATGTCAGTGCCCTGAACAAGTCATCAGCGAGCTCATCCGTATAAACATCTGTACCTCTCGAACAGGACCATCACCTACGATTGATTCCATCTTGGGCTCTCAGCGAGTTGTTCAACATTTGGCAGAAACTATCCTGCAATGTGCTCTCTGTTCCAAGACCCGAGTTAATCTCCTCATGGTGGTGGTTGTCAGCATTGATAGTTTAATCACCACACTTGAAGACCTCATATCTGGGGACGGTCGTTTGATAGAGGGTGTTTTGCCTGAGTTACATGATCATATTCTTCTTCAGCCAGATTGTGGGCAGCAAATAGCGACGGATGGGAGCAATCGAAAGCCCTCAAGTGGCGCTTTCCATTTCAGGGCCGAGGTAGAAAGTTGTCCTTTAATGGTCGGAGGATTCTGTGTTCCGCTGGAGGAGAGATGTCTCTTTGTACATCAAGTGCTGTACACAAGGCTGACTGGACTATTGGCCATTATCCGCCGCATAAGGTATTGCACGCAGCAGATGCTTGCGATATCTGCTTCGCGTGGAAGGTTGAGCATGATGATGGAGACGGATCGGAGATTACAGCTGTTTATGATGAGGATGAGGATGTTCACCAAATGACGACGATAGTGGGTTCTGTTGCGATATACTTGTCTATTGAAGCAGGCCAGTGGCATATTCTCTTCAAGCCATGCCTGGATCAAGCATTAATATTGATTTTCAATCTCAAAACCCGACGAGGCCGATGTCTGAGAAGTCGGTGATTCAGACCGATCTTGTGATCAGTCTGAATCGGCCTGTTCCTAGCTTGTCGCTCAGCAGTGTGCAGCTTAGTAGCATGTTAGAAACAACACTTACACCTGTTAGTATGACGCTGTCCCTGCGCTGAATACCACCGCTACTCTATTATTGATCCTTCGCGAACATGAGTTTCGCAATGTTGCTGTAGAAATTGGTGTGACCTTCAGCTGACCTGGAAACGTGCGTGTACCACATTGAACCATGGTTGTTCAGGGGCAGATCCGTCCAGTCAACTGCAGAGAATGGTGAGGCTGGCTTGTCAATGTTCTAACGGGAAGTATATTCCAGATGCTGCTTTGATTGGGTGCCATGGTAGAATGCGATTGTGCATGTGAATAGCACAGAGCTATGGGAGTTACTGCAACCCACGGCACCCATTGGTCTTTCAGCTCTGAAGAGGGCTTGTCCGTTGATTTGTACCACAGGGAGTCCTACTCGACAATGCCGATGAGCTTAGCAATGTCAGCCCCCACTGTCAAGATATCTGGACCAGACCTCCGATTCTTCTCTGGTATCCTCAGCATTTCCATCATCCGCGTATTCGCGACATCGCATCGACAATGGAGATGGAGCATACGTGCCAGTGTTCCATGGAAGGGCTGCATCTCATGAATGAGCTCCGTAGCATCCACACAGTTGTGGAACTTGGAACCATCTTTGATTTGATCCATCGTGTCTGCAACCAAGGCCAAGCGATCATCAAATGCAAGGACTGCAGGAGAAGCCCCCAAGCATCCATAATGACCTTTCCTACATTAGCAGAGCAATGTCTCCTCCTATTCGAGGCGATTTGTGCAGCGTACAGTATCAACCGGCAGAACACCTTGTTCGATCCAACAATTCTGGCCGTTGAGCAGCAACTATCCCCGTTTATTTGTGTTAGAAGCGCAGTGCTGCTAGGGCAAACGGAGCTCAACGAGGAGGAGTCAGTTCTGCTTGTACGGATGCTGCTAAGTCGCAATCTCATGAGGCTCTCGGGGCTTCTAGAAGCTCTCAGGGACATCATGCGGGCGCGGCCAAAAGAGACTGTGCATACGCACCGTATTGGGACGATGTCGTTTCGATCCTGGGACACTTTAATAGAGTCCATCATTCACCGGCTCGTGATTTTCATGGAACAGTTTCAGCTCCAGTTCAGCGAGCCTAGCGTCCTGCGTGTTCCTCGTTTGCGGAATCTGACTGGCATACTTAGTTAAAACGACGTGCTTATCGACTCTGTGTGAGGGATTAGCTGCACCCTATTTTGAAATTGGAGAGAGGGCGCGGTTCATCTGCCTTTGGATAGACTTTCATATTTTTTTTCAGCTTTTTCGGTTGTAAGGATGAGACGAAATGAACTAAGAGCATACATGGAGCCTCCAGTTTACCAGTTCAATCTCATTACTTCCCTGCTAATCCGAATTCAGTGAATCGTTCCCATGCTTTCTTTGTCTCCACTCGAGGTTGTGATAGTCTCGTAAATCTGTCATGATCGATGAAAAACGTTTAACGTATGCTTATTTGGGCCAAGGGCGCTCCCAAAGTCCGACCCACTGATCCCAGCCAATGACCTTGCCAACCATGGCATCTTTGATCATTTGCTTGCTGACCTGTTCTGCTTGGTCGAACTGGAGAGGCTCGTTGAGTGCGATAATGGTGAAAACGTACCGGTGCAAGCCGTGACCCAGTGGTGGAGCAGGACCAATATAAGAATTGCCAGTCAGATTAGGAACATACTTCCAATTAGAACGAGTCAGTCGTTCTCCTGCATCTTTTCTCTGTTTGATGTCGGCATGCGTTGCGGTGGTGATCGTTGGAGGGATACCATAGAACAGGCCATGATGGATCACGAGACGGGGAATTGGCAAGTCAATGTCTTCGCAGATCAGCACATACTCCTTCACGTCACCTTGCGGAGGAGGAGTCCAGCGAAGCTCAGGAAACCTGCCCTTGCTGTCCTCGGCGAGACAAGTATGGAAGTCGAGCAGTACTGAGCCGGTGGGGCCGCATTCCGGTGCTTCAAGGGTCATGTTGGGCTCGGGAAGATCTTTGAAAGCAGCACTTCTGATGATCTGCTTCGAATCATGACCACGGACGCGATATAGGAGCTTTCCCAGAGCACACTGGAGGTAGTCAAGGATCCCGGGCATTTCGCTTGCTAGGACTAGTCAACCAGACGACCGGATAGCAATGGAGATTGCTGATTGCCTTTGAGCAACCGCTTCGAGAAGAGTCGAACGTAGTTTGAACTTGATCAGAACCAAGAGCCGGTGACAATAAGACAAAGTGGGAGGAACAGATAGTACCTGGGAGAAGAAGGATACAAAAGCTACTGCTGGATGTCGTTATTTGTATAAAATGAGGAAAGAAGGAAGCCCTGAACCGGCCCGGTAGCGGGTGCTGCTTCCATTTCTGGACAAACTCATGAGGCACTGTGTTTGGCAGGCGACAAGTACTGGAGTTCGGTGAATTATGCGCTCTCTCTGCCAGTAGACCAAAGGCCAAGAAGTCTGTGGAATGCATTTTGCGAACCCACCCCTTCTCATGTACGACAAGTCGGATAGATTGTGTGGAGTGGAACTGCTCTCCGAGCGGAACCAAGCTCAAGTACAGTTGGTAGATTTCGGGAGTATCGTATGCAGTTACAACAGTCATGGCTCGCTTTATCGACTAAGTTGTCATACATGCTCTCAACTTTCCCTTTGTTGGCACAGATACGACCATAATTATTGCGTCTATGGCACTCAAGGCGATGCTCCCACTTTTCCTTTAGAACAAGTGTTCGCATGATGGGCAACATCTGAGCCTCAGGCAAATATAGGCTGAGGCACCTGGAGCTTTACAGCTGCCATAGATATCCATGGATCAATCTTTAGATACTCTTCTCACAAAGCTGTCAGAATGCGTTTATTTTGCTTATATTTGGGGTCCCTATTACATAGATCGGACGAACCAATCACAGCATAAATTGGAGCTTCCGCAACATCCGGCTTATGATGAATCAGCACAGAATCGGGTTGCATCAACAGTCAAGCAAGAATAATGTTCGCAATCGTGCATTCATCTTCGCAGCATTCCGCTCGCTCTGTGCCATGGTGGCCATTGTGAAGGTATATTGAATCCTCATTCGGTTCTCTCGCTCCGTACTCAATATATCTTTATGGTTTTGGCCTCCACCCCACCCGCGTCTCCCGGCGCGGAGGCCCGACAGCGCCCGCCTCGGTACCCCGGCGAGGACACAACCCCGACCAGTCGGAAGGAGATCCTGGGCTGGTACGCGTACGGAATCGCAGCTGAGGTCTTTGCTGTTTGTGGTGTAGGTACGCTAGCTTATTCTTCAATTTACTCTGGCTGTGAGAGCTCGTTTCTGATTTATCTGTTATGGAACAGGCTCATTCCTGCCACTCACACTAGAGCAACTGGCTCGCGAACGCGGAACCCTGCTGGCAAGCCACCTACCATGTGTAGGCTCTAGCTCGCCTTCTACAGCCCCTGGAAATGGAACGGCTACGGTAATGCTCAGACGCGATGGCACGGATAATGATCAGTGTGTGGTCAGCGTGTTGGGCCTGCAAGTCAACACTGCCAGTTTTGCCATGTACACGTTCTCGCTTGCGGTTCTTGTTCAGGCATTGACCTTGATCTCCTTCAGCGCGCTGGCTGATTACGGTGAGGACCATATTAATACCTTATTGGTAAGACGGTGCTGACGATAATGGCCTCCTGCGCAGAAAAAAACCGTAAAACCCTCCTCCTCGCTTTTGGATTCATTGGCTCGATGACGAGCATGTTGTTCGTCTTTATCGCGCCACCGGTCTATATCCTTGGATCACTTCTTGTCGTTGTCGGCGTGACCTGTCTTGGATCCTCGTTCGTCGTTCTCAATTCCTTTCTGCCTGTTCTGGTGGCCAATGACCCATCGATTCAGACCGCATACAAGGAGGAGGGGGAAGAGTTACCCCATCTCAACTCAAGCGGAGAGTTTGTGCGATCGGAAGATCTTGACGAAGACAACTCGAGGGATCCTGACGACCATTTTACGACTGGACATGGGAATAAGACAAAAGCGGCAGGTTCAGGTTCGCCTGAATTACAACTGTCCACTCGAATCTCCTCTAAAGGCGTTGGACTCGGCTATTGTGCAGCTGTTTTGGTACAAATACTCAGTATCTTGATGCTATTTGCGCTGTCGAAGACATCATTACCCCAAATCTCAGGGACTCTGCCTCTCCGGTTTGTGCTTCTTCTGGTTGGGATCTGGTGGTTCTCTTTCACTCTGGTCTGTCGGCGTTGGCTACGCGACAGACCAGGACCTCCCTTGGATTCTTCAAAAGGAGCAGCGAGTAACAGCCGGTGGCGCATCTGGCTGCGGCTGATTGGGTTTGCGTGGAAGTCATTGTGGAAGACGGTCAAAGTAGCAGTCAAACTTCGGGAAGTGATCATCTTCCTCGTTGCCTGGTTCCTTCTTTCGGACGCGATGGCGACGGTATCCGGCACGGCTATTCTATTTGCCCGCACTGAACTAAAGATGAGCACAACAGCCGTAGCACTACTGTCCATCACAGCTACCCTGTCAGGCATGGCCGGGGCCTTTCTGTGGCCAGTGGTTTCGCGGTGGCTCCGACTCAAATCCAATCACACTATTATGCTCTGCATCGCCCTATTTGAGGTTATACCTCTGTACGGCATGCTTGCTTACATTCCTCTCTTCAAGAAATGGGGTGTGATCGGGCTCCAACAGCCATGGGAAATTTTCCCGCTGGGGATTGTTCATGGCCTAGTATCTGGTGGACTGTCATCCTACTGCCGCTCCTTTTTTGGTCTGCTAATCCCCCCTGGTAGCGAGGCCGCATTCTACGCTCTGTATGCGGCTACGGACAAAGGAAGCTCGTTTATTGGTCCTGCCATTGTGGGAGTGCTGATCGATGCTACGGGCCAGGTGCGCTCGGGCTTCTTCTTTATTGCGGTCCTGATCCTCCTCCCCATACCGCTGATCTGGATGGTCAATGCAGAGAAGGGGCGGCAGGACGGATTAGCCATGGCAGACATATTAGAAAAGTCGCATGGAGAGCATGCCTCTGATTATGGAGGTCCTTCCGAAGAAGCCGAAGGACTGCTGGCTCGCAGTATATGACCAATCGGATTATGCGTCATGATAATGATTATGATGGAACCCTATATAGAGTGCTCATACCCCATGATTCCCTCCATAGACAGACATATGGACTGCTTCTGAACCACAATGGTCTCCAAGTCGAATTCACGTTGCCCTCATGCCTCAGTCATGGCTCATTGATCGTCGTTGAATTTTAAGTCGTTAGTCAAATCACCAGATTTCCAGGCGACCTCCACGAGATCGCAGCAGCCATAAGAGCTGGAGTCTGAAAGTCGCTCAAAATTGAGACAAAACTTTAGAGGTCACTCAACCGCATCAGGCCGCATCCCCGGGGAGACGCGCCAAACGCGCGTTGCCTCTAGTCAGCCCTGGTAATACTACACTCCTGTCACGACCAGGGAGCGAGAATGTTCATGTGGAGGCAGAGGGCAATGTTCCCTTTTGGTATACCCATGATCAATCAGTCGAATGAACACTGGCTCCTTATGAGATATATAATGCATTGTAATCGTTATATTTCTTCTATGTAGGTGAGGAAGGATCAAGGTAGATCGAATCAAGGAGACGCGGTAGTCATCTGGAACGTCTTGTGGATGTTGACCTGGTAACGGTCCCAAGAGTCCTCAGGAAGGCTCAGTTCCTCCTGGCTGCTGTGGCCGTCGTTCAGATGACTCCGCGCCATCGGCGACGAGATGGTGGTCACTACAACATTGGAAGATTCGTCCGGGAGGTCAGGGCGCCAGTAGCTTGGATTGTGAGGAGCCTTCTTTGGTGTATCATCCGGCAAACTAGAAAGCGGGTATTGTCTGTCACCGCGTTTGGCACTGCGTCTGTGACGACCTGACAGGTTGCCGTCCAGACACCAGCGGAACAGGGGGCGGAGAGTGGCAAGGCTGCCGGCTGTGATGCCGAGTCCGGTTTCCATTACGGACCAAATTGCGATTTGGTAGGTGGAGTCTATTCGCTAGACGTTAGCAGGGTCCATGGGTTGATCAGAAGTGTACTCACACAGAAAATCATCATCCCCGTAGTAATGAAGGAACGGGAATCGGATGATCACTGCAACACTCGCACTGAAGACGGGTGATTAGTCTGTGATGA